GTTCAATGGAATAGACTGACCTCCCCCCCCCCATCCTCCCCGGGAGTTGTGCCAACATTGAACATGAAATTATGGTTCAGTAGTTTTACATATACTGTAAATAAATGATAAAGGAACCTATAAAAGGTTTTATTTGACTTTCAGCAAAGAAATATCCTTCCACTGCTGTCTGAACAGGAGGAGTCACGTTACTTTGACCCCCACCGGTCTGCTGTTCTGAAATTGCTTTTAAGGGGCTTTTGCAGACCAGAGGTGGGAAGCTCTCTAGAAGAGGGACTGAGAGTGGAAAAAGCCTTTACATTTTATATATCAAATCCTATCTGTCCAAGGTTACCTGGGGTGCGTATCTTATACCCTCCAATACATTTACTCTCGAACCCAGGGGCGTCAAGCTCAATTTCATCAATGGCCGCAACAACATTATGGTTGCCTTCATATCTAGACCACTGTCCCCCCTACATCAGATGTCAAGAGCCCCCCCCCCAACATCTGAAGTCAAGATTCCTCCACCCTGCCTTCCATCAATATCGCCTCACCCCTTCAGTCTCTGCCCGAATCACTAGCCTTCTGAACGTCATATCAGACTGGATGTCATTCCACTTCCTCAAATTAAACCTTGCCAAAACCGAGCTCCTAGTTTTCCCCCCAGCCCGCGACCTCCCCCCTGACCTCTCCATCACGACCAACAACGCCACCATCAGCCCCACCCCACAAGCCAGAGTACTAGGTGTCATTCTAAACTCCAGTCTGTGTTTCCAGCCCCAGATCTAATCGCTGACAAATTCATGCAGACTCCGCCTCCGCAACATCTCCAAAATACACCCATTCCTAACTCCTGAAACCACTAAGCAACTCATTCACTCCCTCATCATATCACGACTTGACTACTGTAACTCCCTCCTCGCCAGCCTACCTCACCACAGGCTATCGCCACTTCAGTCTGTCCTGAATTCTGCAGCCAGACTCATCCACCTAACCAACCGCTCCATATCTGCCACCCCCCTCTGCCAATCCCTCCACTGGCCTCCACCCCCCTCTGCCAATCCCTCCACTGGCTTCCGATTGCCCAACACATAAAATTCAAATGACTAACATTGACGTACAAAGCTGTTCAAAACTCTGCCCCAAACTACCTCACCGACCTGATACCCAAATACAACCCAACACATACTCTCCGCTCCTCACTAGATAGACTCCTATTCTCCAGCTCCCTGGTCTCCTCCTCCCGTGCCCGTCTCCAGGACTTCTCCATGGCTTCTCCCATCCTCTGGAACTCACTACCCCAATCCATCAGACTGTCACCTACCCTCCTCACCTTTAGGCGCATCCTGAAAACCCATCTATTTAGAGACGCCTACCCCACCCTCACCTAACTGCTGATCTCCTCCGCTCTCCCCACCACTCTATTTCCTCCTGTACCACTCTCCCCTCCCCCCTAGATTGTAAGCTCCAAGAAGCAGGGCCTTCGAACCCCTCGGGTATTGTATTGTTACTGTATTGTCTCATGTACTGTCTCCCATTGTAATGTACAGCGCTGAGCAAACTGTTGGCGCTATATAAATGCTGTGTAATAATAATAATATACACCCCCCTTGCTTTGTGGATGAGGGGGGTGCTGTGCCTGAAGGAGAGGTGCGAGGGCTGGAGCCAGCTTCTGGAGTCTACTGAATGCTGAGACCAGGGGTGGCAGAGACAAGGGGGTGCTGCGGCTGCACAGAGAGGGCGCAGAATCTGTAGGAGTAGATCTGTCCTCCTCTCGGCTGTCAACTGCTGAGACAGGGTGGGGGCAGAGATGAGGGGGGTGCTGCACCTGCAGGAGAGGTGCGAGGGCTGGAGTCTGCTTTTGGAGTCTACTGAATGCTGAGACCAGGGAAGGCAGAGATGAGGGAGTGCTGCGGCTGCACAGAGAGGCGTAGAATCTGTAGGAGTAGATCTGTCCTCCTCTCGGCTGTCAACTGCTGAGACAGGGTGGGGGCAGAGATGAAGGGGGTGCTGCACCTGCAGGAGAGGTGCGAGGGCTGGAGCCAGCTTCTGGAGTCTACTGAATTCTGAGACCAGGGGAGGCAGAGACGAGGGGGTGCTGCGGCTGCACAGAGGCACAGTACCTGTAGGAGAAAATCTGTCTTCCTCTCTGCTGCTGACTGCTGAGACAGGGTGGGGGCAGAGATGAGGGGGGTGCTGCACCTGCAGGAGAGGTGCGAGGGCTGGAGCCAGCTTCTGGAGTCTACTGAATGCTGAGACCAGGGGAGGCAGAGACGAGGGGGTGCTGCGGCTGCACAGAGGCACAGTACCTGTAGGAGGAAATCTGTCTTCCTCTCTGCTGCTGACTGCTGAGACAGGGTGGGGGCAGAGATGAGGGGGGCGCTGCACCTGCAGGAGAGGTGCGAGGGCTGGAGCCAGCTTCTGGAGTCTACTGAATGCTGAGACCAGGGAAGGCAGAGATGAGGGAGTGCTGCGGCTGCACAGAGAGGCGTAGAATCTGTAGGAGTAGATCTGTCCTCCTCTCGGCTGTCAACTGCTGAGACAGGGTGGGGGCAGAGATGAAGGGGGTGCTGCACCTGCAGGAGAGGTGCGAGGGCTGGAGCCAGCTTCTGGAGTCTACTGAATTCTGAGACCAGGGGAGGCAGAGATGAGGGGGTGCTGCGGCTGCACAGAGGCACAGTACCTGTAGGAGGAAATCTGTCTTCCTCTCTGCTGCTGACTGCTGAGACAGGGTGGGGGCAGAGATGAGGGGGGTGCTGCACCTGCAGGAGAGGTGCGAGGGCTGGAGCCAGCTTCTGTAGTCTACTGAATGCTGAGACCAGGGGAGGCAGAGACGAGGGGGTGCTGCGGCTGCACAGAGGCACAGTACCTGTAGGAGGAAATCTGTCTTCCTCTCTGCTGCTGACTGCTGAGACAGGGTGGGGGCAGAGATGAGGGGGGCGCTGCACCTGCAGGAGAGGTGCGAGGGCTGGAGCCAGCTTCTGGAGTCTACTGAATGCTGAGACCAGGGAAGGCAGAGATGAGGGAGTGCTGCGGCTGCACAGAGAGGCGTAGAATCTGTAGGAGTAGATCTGTCCTCCTCTCGGCTGTCAACTGCTGAGACAGGGTGGGGGCAGAGATGAAGGGGTGCTGCACCTGCAGGAGAGGTGCGAGGGCTGGAGCCAGCTTCTGGAGTCTACTGAATTCTGAGACCAGGGAGGCAGAGATGAGGGGGTGCTGCGGCTGCACAGAGGCACAGTACCTGTAGGAGGAAATCTGTCTTCCTCTCTGCTGCTGACTGCTGAGACAGGGTGGGGACAGAGATGAGGGGGGTGCTGCACCTGCAGGAGAGGTGCGAGGGCTGGAGCCAGCTTCTGTAGTCTACTGAATGCTGAGACCAGGGGAGGCAGAGACGAGGGGGTGCTGCGGCTGCACAGAGGCACAGTACCTGTAGGAGGAAATCTGTCTTCCTCTCTGCTGCTGACTGCTGAGACAGGGTGGGGGCAGAGATGAGGGGGGCGCTGCACCTGCAGGAGAGGTGCGAGGGCTGGAGCCAGCTTCTGGAGTCTACTGAATGCTGAGACCAGGGAAGGCAGAGATGAGGGAGTGCTGCGGCTGCACAGAGAGGCGTAGAATCTGTAGGAGTAGATCTGTCCTCCTCTCGGCTGTCAACTGCTGAGACAGGGTGGGGGCAGAGATGAAGGGGGTGCTGCACCTGCAGGAGAGGTGCGAGGGCTGGAGCCAGCTTCTGGAGTCTACTGAATTCTGAGACCAGGGGAGGCAGAGACGAGGGGGTGCTGCGGCTGCACAGAGGCACAGTACCTGTAGGTGGAAATCTGTCTTCCTCTCTGCTGCTGACTGCTGAGACAGGGTGGGGGCAGAGATGAGGGGGGTGCTGCACCTGCAGGAGAGGTGCGAGGGCTGGAGCCAGCTTCTGGAGTCTACTGAATGCTGAGACCAGGGAAGGCAGAGACGAGGGGGTGCTGCGGCTGCACAGAGGCGCAGTACCTGTAGGAGGAAATCTGTCTTCCTCTCTGCTGCTGACTACTGAGACAGGGTGGGGCAGAGATGAGGGGGGTGCTGCACCTGCAGGAAAGGTACGAGGGCTGGAGTCCGCTTCTGGAGTCTACTGAATGCTGAGACCAGGGAAGGCAGAGATGAGGGGGTGCTGCAGCTGCACAGAGAGGTGCAGAATCTGTAGGAGGAGATCTGTCCTCCTCTCTGCTGCTGACTGCTGAGACAGGGTGGGGGGGTCAGAGAGATGAGGGGGGTGCTGAATTTGCAGGAGAGGTGCATGGGCCACATGAAATGACCTGGTGGGCTGGATTTGGCCCGCGGGCCTTATGCTTGGCTTGTGCTCTAACACATTGTACAGGATGTTAGGGATGGTCCTGGATAGGAGATATACAGTATTTCCCCACTATTTGGATTGTGGTCCCTTTAGGGGAGAGTTCAAGGGACTTTTTTAGTACTCAGGGGTTCTAATCCATGCAGGGTGAGGTGTTCCAGGGTAGTCCAGTTGGAGAAGATGGATTTCAGTACTCTCTGGATTGGTAAGTCCTTATTTGGGTCCCATAATTTGGAGACTTGGAGAGAATTTGGGTGGGAAACAGCCTACAAACCCTGACTACAGGGACTTTAGTACCAAAAAAGGTTAACCCACCTGCAAGGGAGGCCTAAAAAGCAGCAGGAAGGAGTCCACATGTGTCCATGAGGTGCAGTGGAGTAGTTCAGAGCTGTGAGATTGTGTGGGCCATCTGGAGACTTGGGTTGCTGACCTCCTATGGCTTGTCTCCGAAACAGACAGGAACCCAACGCTCAAGTGTGGCACTGAGATACTGGGCGGTGAGCCATTGTTGTGGTCTTTGTTATACCAGGACTATGAACTGTTCGACTTTATTTCCTGAAGAAAGATATTCTTGTTTGCTTGCTTTGAAAGATTAGTAAAGACTTTTACATGTGGCTGGCTGGTGGTCTCGGGCTCTCCAGATTACACCACATATTGAGGATTTTTTTTTTCTCATTGTATGATCAACTTTAACCACTTGCCGTCCAGCCGCTGTATAGAAACGGCCGGACGGTGGCAGTGCATAAACGGCGCCCGACATTTTGGACTGTGTGCGCTCCCTGGGAGCGTGCAGCACCGCGATCTGGTGCCCGCTATGTCCTCCGACACAGTGGAACACCGATCGTTGTACGGGACCTCTGTGTGAGGACCCGATCATGCGATCACTGATTGGCCAATCAGCGATCACATGCAGAGTAGTAAGCAATGTGTCACTTCTGACATCATTGCTTACTACGTGTGAAATCTGCGAATGATCACATGGTACAGGGCCATTCACAACAGCCCTGTACCATGTGACAAGCTGTGACCAATCACAGCTTTCACAGTATTTCTCAATGGCTGCAGGAATGCAGCCAGAGAGAAGGAGAAATGATTCCTCTTACAGCCTTTATGGGTGTAAAAGCAATCAGTGTAAAAAAAAAATTAAATCTTCATCACCCCCCACAAGTAGTACAGTGTCACCATGGTGACAGTATGTAAAAAAAAAAAAAAAAAAAAAAAACAAATAATAATATAAAATAAAAATGTAAAAACTTTTTTTTTTAAATTATAATTTTTGGTTATAAACTAATTTTGGTTATTTTTTTTACTAAAAAGATTAAAACATTTAGGCCAAGATTTATGAAGAAATATTATTTATTTGCAAAATGTTTTTTCAATATTTTTGGACTTTTTCATTTATATAGCAAAAAAATAAAAATCCCAGCGGTGAATAAATACCACCAAAATAAAGCTTTATCTGTCTCAAAAAAATGCTAAAAAATTAATCTGGGTACAGTGTTGCATGACCGCGCAATTGTCATTCAAATTGTGATAGCGCTGAAAGCTGAAAATTGGTTGAAAGTGGTTAAGAATATGTGAATCATTTAATGTCTATTGTCTGAGTACAGGTCCGCTGTAAAGTGAACGTTCACCCCCCCTCCCTCACTTTCTGTGATACCCCCCTCCCTCACTTTCTGTGATACCCCCCTCCCTCACTTTCTGTGATACCCCCCTCCCTCACTTTCTGTGATACCCCCCTCCTTCATCTCCCTTTTTTTACTCCAAGCTCCCTCTAATAACAACGCTGTGATACTCCCCTCCCTCACTTTCTGTGATACCCCCCTCCCTCACTTTCTGTGATACCCCCCCCCCCTCACTTTCTGTGATACCCCCCTCCCTCACTTTCTGTGATACTCCTCATCCCTCACTTTCTGTGATACCCCCCTCCCTCACTTTCTGTGATACCCCCCTCCCTCACTTTCTGTGATACTCCCCTCCCTCACTTTCTGTGATACCCCCCTCCCTCACTTTCTGTGATACTCCTCATCCCTCACTTTCTGTGATACCCCCTCCCTCACTTTCTGTGATACTCCCCCTCCCTCACTTTCTGTGATACCCCCCTCCCTCACTTTCTGTGATACCCCCCTCCCTCACTTTTGTGATACCCCCCTCCCTCACTTTTTGTGATACCCCCCTCCCTCACTTTCTGTGATACCCCCCTCCCTTACTTTCTGTGATACCCCATCCCTCACTTTCTGTGATACCCCCCCTCCCTCACTTTCTGTGATACCCCTCTCCCTCACTTTCTGTGATACTCCCCCTCCCTCACTTTCTGTGATACCCCCATCCCTCACTTTCTGTGATACCTCCCTCCCTCACTTTCTGTGATACCCCCCTCCCTCCCTTTCTGTGATACCCCCCTCCCTCACTTTCTTTGATACCCCCCTCCCTCACTTTCTGTGATACCCCCCTCCCCCATCCCTCACTTTCTGTGATACCCCCCTCCCTCACTTTCTGTGATACCCCCATCCCTCACTTTCTGTGATACCCCCCTCCCTCACTTTCTGTGATACCCCCATCCCTCACTTTCTGTGATACCCCCCTCCCTCACTTTCTGTGATACCCCCCTCCCTCACTTTCTGTGATACCCCCTCCCTCCCCGTTACACACTCTGACCTTTTATCAGGGTGCAGGGGGTAGTTTTCCATTAGGTTCTGGCTGGCCACGTCCATCTTTTCTTTTTGAGGACAACTCAATTGACAGAGAATAAAAAGGCGGAGGTGAGTTCCTCTGTATGGAATGGAAAGCGGCACTTTAACATCATTTTTGTTTCAATTCCATTCATTCTGTTGGGTTAAAAAGATATTTTTTTTTACCAGAACATGATAGTGTGAATATAATTCTACAATAAGAATTCCATAACCCAACAAGCTCTAGAGAAGGAATTCTAATGCATGTCGATGTAGATGGAGGTTTGCTGGTTGTAGTTATTCTTACATTGTAACAAAGTAACTAAGTACTTGTTGTCACGGCTCTTGATAAGCAATTATGTGTTCATGTTTATTCGTGTTCTATGAATGCTCACGTGAGTAATGAACGGCCCGAGTCTTGGAAATGGAATTAAAAATAGCCTCTCTATTGGCTGATATACGATAACGGAGCTCCAGCAATGACGGATATGGTACCACTCGGAGAGGAGCGCTGTATCCAGGCAGTGTGGTGCCCAAGGTACAATGTGAAGGAAACGCTAGAAGTCGAGGTACAGCTACCCAATCAGATGCAGAATCGGTTGCGTCTTGTTCAGAAACACAATATATTTCAGTATGTTTCAGTTTATTTGCAGCTCAGCTTGATTTTATTTACGAGGCATCTACATTCAGGGGGCGATCTTCGGTTCATCTTCACTTATTAACAAGCCCGGGGCTATGTACACTCCGGCGTTAGGAGAATGGCTGAGCCTTGTCAGCATTTGTTTCTGTTTAGAAAAACACAACTAGAAATGGCTCAATGCTTTGTGTGGATTCACAGGACTCTGTCAGGCACTTGTCTGAGGAGCTCGAGATGATGAGGGGGGGCCTCATGCGCAATTCCCAGCCGAGCACTCCTGGAAGTAATTGAGACGGGGACTTTATTATTATTATACAGGACTTATATAGCGCCGACAGTTTGCTCAGCGCTGTACATTATGGAGGGAGACAGTACAGTAACAATACAGTTCAATACAAGAGGGATTAGAGGGCCCTGATCCTGGGAGCTTACAATCTAGGAGTTTGTGGGCGAATCTAGGGACTTGTGGGTGATGGAAAGTAACAGGGGCCAGGAAGCTGGAAACGTGGTGTGATGGTCAGGGGTCAGGAGATGGTTAAGGCTCGGAGATCAGTAGTTATAGTAGTAGAATGAAGCCACTCACATAGCCACAGGATAATTGGTTGCCTCCTGCCAATATCTACCAGGCTGCTCCCAGTACGGGAGATGTAGATGTGACGGGAGTCACTTTGGGTGGGGGGCCCATGGAACACAGCTCACTTTGGAGAGGTGGGGAGACCCCTGTCTAAGCTCCCCATATCCCTCTTATGTGTAAGTCACCCTGTGCCTGTTAGGGGTACAGGGTGATCTGGCCTAATATTGGGGTGGGGGGTTGTTGATTGTTTAATGCCATATGGTTGCATCCCGTTGTTCTATTGTGTGTCTTGCTTGGGAGCAAACTATTATGGGATGTATGTGTTTGTGTATTGGCTTGGTGGTGGGTGTCTCCAGCAGCCCTCTCTCCTGATGGGACTGTCTGCTGATGTGTCTCTTCTTACTGGGTGTGTATTGCCCCGCCCTGTGTATATATCTTGTATCTACAGTGAGGAACAGAAGTATTTGAACCCCCTGCAATTTTGCAAGTTCATCCACTTCTCCATCATGGAGGGGTCTGACATTCACATTGTAGGGGCATTCCCACCCTGAGAGACAGAATTCAGGAAATCTCATTGCAGGGGATTCCCACTCTGAGGACAGAATTCAGGAAATCCCATTGTATGATTTGTAAAGAATGTATTTGTCTCGCACGGCTGAACAGAAGTATTTGAACCCCTGAGAAGATCCGTGTTAATATTTGGTACAGAAGCCTTTGTTTGCAATTACAGAGGTCAGACGTTTCCTGTAGTTCCTGACCAGGTTTGCACTGCAACAGGGATTTTGGCCGACTCCTCCACACCGATCTCCTCTAGATCTGTCAGGTTTCGTGGCTGTCGCTGAGCAACACAGAGTTTCAGCTCCCTCCAAAGATGTTCTATTGGATTTAGGTCTGGAGACTGGCTAGGCCACTCCAGAACCTTGATATGCTTCTTACGGGGCCACTCCATGGTTCTCCTGGCTGTGTGCTTCGGGTCGTTGTCATGTTGGAAGACCCAGCCACGACCCATCTTCAATGCTCTGACTGAGGGAAGGAGGTTGTTGCTGAAAATCTCACAATAAATGGCCCCATTCATCCTCTCCTTAATACAATGCAGTCATCCTGTCCCCTTCACAGAAAAGCACCCCCAAAGCATGATGTTACCCACACCCCATGCTTCACAGTAGGGATGGTGTTCTTGGGATGCAAACTCATCCTTCTTTTTCCTCCAAAAATGACGAGTGAAGTTTAGACCAAAAATTTCTCCTTTGGTCTCCTCTGACCACATGACTTTCTCCCATGCCTCCTCTGCATCATCCAGATGGTCATTGGCAAACTTCAGACGGGCCTGGACATGTGATGACTGGAGGCAGGGGGAACCCTGATTCAGACTGGGCCTTCAGGACATGTGATGACTGGAGCAGGGGGAACCTTCAGACGGGCCTGGACATGTGATGACTGGAGCAGGGGAACCTTCAGACGGGCCTGGACATGTGATGACTGGAGCAGGGGAACCTTCAGACGGGCCTGGACATGTGATGACTGGAGCAGGGGAACCTTCAGACAGGCCTGGACATGTGATGACTTGAGCAGGGGGAACCTTCCGTGCAATGCATGATTGGAAACCATTGACGGCGTAGTGTTCTACCGACAGTGACCTGTGAAACTGTGGTCCCAGCTCTCTTCATGTCATTGACCAGCTCCCCCCCTTGTAGTTCTGGGCTGATTCCTCACCTTTCTTCTCATCAGTGATACCCCACGAGGTGACATCTTGCATGGAGCCCCAGTCTGAAGGAGACTGACAGTCGTCTTTAGCCTCTTCCATTTTCTAACAATTGCTCCAACAGTTGATCTATTTTCACCAAGCTGCTTGGCAATTTCCCCGTAGCCCTTTCCAGCCTTGTGGAGGTCCACCATTTTGTCTCTGGTGTTCTTTTTGACAGCTCTTTGGTCTTGCCATGGTAGTAGTTGGCATCTGACTGACTGTGGGGTG